GATGTATACCCTGCTATATACAAATCAAATAAAGAAATGATGTTTACCTACAAAAAAAAAAAAAATAAAAAAAAAAAATAAATAAATAAATGAACTTAAGATAAGTATATTAAATTAATTATATTTGCTTTAATTAATAATACTTTTTATTATAGATATTTATTAATACGTAATTGAATTCAAGAATTTATTGAAATATTTGCTTCATATTTACAAAATAATTTATAATTACTAAAACTTCATATCTGATGTTATCATTTAATATCAACAATAAAAAAATATGAAGCAATAAATAATATCTATGAAACTCTTTATAACATATACGTAATTTACAAATATAATTACATAATATAAAAGAATTTTTCTGCCATGCGATGATCGACATTTCCTTTCTTTATCTCGCGTTAGGATATGCCCTTCTACTTTAGATATGTTCATCCGATTCTACGTACAGTTAGCGTGGCACTTAGGGTAATTTGTGCCATACATTTTACAAATGAATATTTTATAGAAATTACTCAGGTATCTTGAAAGAAACTCGCAATTTGTAAATGGCATGGTCAATGGCATATTCATATTGTAATAAAGTGTATGGGTCCTTCAATGCTTCCAACCTTTAATATGGTTGGAGATTTCGTGGCACTAGAACGTTTTAGTCCTCGCTTACGACGTCTCGAAATGGGCGACGTAATAGTGTGTGTATCCCCAACAAACCCGTGGAGATCTGTGTGTAAACGAATAATAGGCATGGTAAATTTTACACACGTCGATTCCAGAATAAATTTGTTATACGTGAATATTATACGAAATTCATATTGTAGTTTGCACTTCTTATTTAAAAAATTAGCCGGGAGACCGAGTATGTGTCGACCCGACAGCTGTTCATCGTAAATTTATTACTGTAAGTATATAACGACGCGATACTTGATTTGCGATTAATACTTATCATTTATCGTATCAGGTGCCTCCTGGTCACGTTTGGATACAAGGTGACAATATGAGCAATTCTACTGATTCTAGAAACTATGGACCCATTCCTTACGCTTTAATCGTGGGAAAAGTGTTTGCTAGAGTAAATCGATTTAATTTTTGCTCATGGTCATTAAATCTAATTAATTATCTCTAATGAGAATAATTCCTTTTTATAGGTCTGGCCAAATCCGTGTTGGATAAAGAATGGAGTAATAACTCTTGAGGAACGTTATATTAAGAAAGTACCTTAAAGGAAGACGCGTCATTTCAACCCGAATCCTTTATGTTGACAATGGATTTTATATAATCTAAAAAATAAATCTTGCGAGTCCAAATATGTGACAAAAAAAAGGAAATTAGAACAGATTAAAGAGCAAAATTGGTGCCTATCTACAAAGTGTTATTAAGATCGAGCACTGACTACGAATAAAAATAAAAGATTTTTAGAATCCTGACATTTCGTAAAATCCGACAAGACGTGCATGATCCATCTAATTTTTGAAAATGAATGGATTAGAGATATCATTCTGATGCGATATTCCAGGAAGGGTCGTGCCGTTGACTCAAGTTCCTTCATACAAGTTTATTGTGTGAAATAAAATAAGTTAATCATGGTGTCTTCATCTTTCCTTTATGGTCAGCGGCACTTGGTGTTCCCCATCTGTTCCAAACCAACATTATTAGCAACAAATTAAAAGGTTAAACATCCAAAGGTTAAAAATAGTCTATATCTTACATCCGAATGGTATGATCATCACCGGCGGACGCAAACATATATGGATTTGTAGGATTCCAATTAACGCTATTAACCGCCCCTATATGACCTGACAAGATTTCGAGAGTTGTTGCGTTTTCACGGTGCCATACATAAATTTGAGAGTCTGCAAAATTCAAAGTTACATGGTGAAGAACTACAGAAAATCAACAAGTACTTCCAGGAAAAATGCACAAACCTTCACTACCGCTGACGACGAATCTTTGATCTATTCCACCAAAACATGACCTAATGACAAATTTACCCTGTTTCTGACCATAATATTTACGTACTATTTGCTTTTCTTCTATATCCCACAAATGAATTTCCTAGATTTTATAATTTAAATTAGCAAATTTTTTTTTTTTTTTTTTTTTTTTTTTTTTTTAATGCGTTTTCTTACCCTGGAGGAAAGATTCACTAAAGCGTACTTGCAATCATTTGATAAGCAGACAGAAGTAAGCTTAGCATTCTCATCTAATATCCTGGTTAAATTTTGCATATTATGTCAGAATCAAAGCAAGAGTTAATATGCTTAAAATTCTAGACTACATACGCTTCTTCCTTTTTTGTTTCAAGATTATATATATGCAGCTTTCCGTCGTGACAGATAGCCACCATTTTAGTGCCTTCTTTATTAATTGCTAAATCAACTATTCGAGCACCAGTCCACTTATCTATAATCGTTCCATCCAAGTTCTATTTGAAAACAGGTATCAATATTGTGCTACTAAATAATAATATAATGTGCGAAGAAACATTACCCATAGATAAGTATTCTTGTCCTGACTGCCAGATATAAAACTTTTCCCATCTGGAAGCCAAGCACAGGTAGTTACTGGTTCGGTATGTTTTTTCAATGTATTCAAGCATTCTCCAGACTATAAATTAAGATTATAAAAATCAATTCTCGAAGAGAAACCTTTCACACATGTAATTATTGTACCTCTACACTCCAAAGTCTTATTTCATTATCTTGCCCACAAGTTAGAATCTTAGTGTCATCTGGAGACCAAGACAAGAAAGAAACATAATCCGTATGTTTATTGAGAACATGTACCGAATTTTTTGTCTGGTAATTAAATGTACATTAGAATACAATATCATTACGGATGAACGTAACCATAATTAATGAGCACGATACCTCAATACTCCATATGATAGCCGTCTTGTCTCTAGATGCAGATGCCAAGAATTTCCCATTATTTGAAAATGCAACGTACCAGACTTCGTCGGTATGTTGTAAGAATGTATGAGTAGTGACTGTAGGGAATTGTGATCTATTGGTATGGCCAAGGATTATGACGCCAGAAATTCTTAAATGTCATAGAATCTGGTAAAAATATTTGATTAAAAGATCCTTCTGATTACCTATCGCAAACGTGATCAGAATATAGCGAGATGTATTCATCGGTGTTGTGATAAAGGCAAGACATTCGTTGCAAAGTAGTGGCTTGTTCAAGCAATGTTTCGAGACGATGTTCAGGTATCATTATGGACGGTGAAATGTATTCTTCAAGTACATATATCGATTTGTAAGAACTGATTGAATGGAATTTTTCAAAGATAACTAACTATTAATTCATACTCTGTAATTGAAGTAATAACTTTTGACGTGAAGTTCCAAAAGCTCCATCCCACTCTGCTCTGCGTTTTAAATCTTCTGTATTAGAATACATCATAAAACTATTTGATATCGAATGATCAAGATTAGAAAAGAATATATATTAATAACAAAAAAATATGATATTTCAATACCTTGCCAAAATATGAAGTCTCTCAGTATCAAACGCAAGTGGAGTAAGCTCGCTCCTTAATGTGTACAAAGCTAATTTAATTTCCCTTTTTTCTAGTAGTTCCAGATATTTTTGTTGGCGAATCAAAAACTGCACGACCTGTGATAATTTGTAAGTAGAATTAGATTCGCAGAAAATTTTCTTGATATCTAGAACTGAACTTACAACGGTGTCTTTGTTTTGATCTAACTCCAATGTAGAGAAAAGACTCTCAACCATATCCCAATCTCCCTTCAGCACTCCTTCTCTAAACTTTGCAACTGCTGGACTTTCAAGAGGAAAACCAGATTCACTCTCGAGCATGGCCGCAGATTTACTAAAATTTTGAATTCGAAGGTTAAAAAACATTCTGATGACTCATGGAAGATAAAATTTTTTAATTAGATGTAAAATAAACTAGCCTATATCCCATATCCTGCATCGCTTGAACCATGAGTCTGACAAGCTCTTGTTGACGATTATTTGTCATTTTGGTAAACTCCGAAGCTTTACCATTTGTTGCAGCTGAAGAATCACCATTACTAGTTGGTAAAACTCCATTCGCACTATTTCCAACACCGTTTTCCTTCTTGTTGATCCTCATTGACCTTCTTGCAGAAAAAGGTCTTGCAATACGTGGACGTTTTGATAGGCGTAAATCAGAATCAGAGTCACTAGGTCGCGAGTAGTCGTTATCTACCTCGTCCCTAGGGTGATAGCCACTAGATTGACTCTGTAATTCGTCCGTGGGGTTAGAGGAACTTGAGTTTGAAGGCGAGGATATGTGCGATGACGAGGCAAAATTGAATGGCAAAGGGACTTGTTCTTCGTCGAAAGAACTGATCACTGTGGTATGCGAAGAAGTCTGAGAGACTGCAGCAGAAGCACTTTCCAGTAAGCTGCGTAACGAGAATTGGTGAGTATCGCTATTGACAGAACTGCCTCTGCTACTATCCCTTCTAGGTTGCAAGTCGCGTTCCAGGATGGGTAAATGTCAGTAGGCACACACTCAAGTGCGCCAAAGGAGAGAAATACTTTTTGTGATAGAGAAGGAGTATTTGCTTCAAATTAATAAGTAAAGATGCAGTATCAGACAGTCGAAACAACAACCGAGTACTCAACGAATACCACTTTGCTCTAGAGGGCGATTATTGGGTCAACTTTGGAAAAACAAATTAGGAAATTGTATGACTATTTGAGGGAAACCCCACTAATCGTAACAAACGAACTTCTAGGGCAAAAATAATAATAATAAAATAAAAATTCGAATATGAAGCACAGAAGGATTTGTCGAAATCTTATTAATCCATTTGATCTTTTATTCTGCTTTGTGATATATACGTCATAATATGAATCCGGAGAGTATTTGGCGCCTCGAACATTACACATCTATTTATATAACGATAAAAGGTAGCTTATTAAAACTAAAGCACGTGATAGATTTTACTTTTTCTGCGGAATTTCTTAGCTGCATAAATTATGTTGAAGTAGATTTTCAAATGTGTGATCGCATACATGCACAGAAAATATTTTCAGAGCATATTCTAGAATTTATATTAATTTATTAAATAATTTGTATAATTTAAAGTTTAAATTTTTTATAATATTAATAAAAAAATATATAATTTTTATTATAAATAAAAATTATTAAATATAAATAAATATATTATATACAGTATTAAAAATTTTTTTATTTTAAATATAACTTATTATAATTTATTTTTAAAGTAATGATATTTATATTACGTATTTATTATTATAATATAAATAAATTTTATTATATACAGTATAAATCAAAAATAATTGAACTGATATAATTCAATAAATAATAATTTAATTAAGATAAAATTTTAAATATGTATATATATTTTATAATTTAATTAAGATAAAATTTTAAATATGTATATATATTTTATAATTTATTTAAAGTTTTATTAATACTTAATTAATAAATTTATTTGAAAAAATTTTTAAAAAAAATATATATATAATATAAATTAAATTTAAATTTTTACTATAGAAAATTTTTTAAAAAAATTAAATATAAATATAAATATAAATTTTAAACTTATAATTAATTATAAATATTATTAAAATTAAAAAAAAACTTTTTTTTACTTTTTTTCAACTATTTAAAATTTTTATTTTTAGGAAACTTTTAAGTTATTTACTTTTATTTATTTATTTTTTTCTTTTATTTTTAATTTTCTTTTTTGTCTCTTATTTTTCTCTTCTATTCTAAAAAAAAGGTTTTTTCAATTTTTTTTTTTCCTATTTTTTTTTTCTTAAAGGTTTTTTTTTCTATATATATATTTTTTTAAAATATTATTTTATTTCATTACTTTTTGATTAATAAATTTTTTTTCTTTTGAAATTATTAAGAAGTAACAACTTATTTCAAGATATGAACTTTAAAAATTTTTTCTCTTCTATAGTTATCAAAATATATATATATATAGTTCATTATATTCAAAAAATTAATATAATTATTATTAACAAATTCAATATTGTTTACTAATTAATAGTTAGATTAAATATATTTAAAAAATCATTGTATAACTATTATGTATTATTTGAAACTTTAAGAAGATGCATTTTACAATATTCAAATAAAATAATAGTCAATATTAATACAGTTAATATTACAGGCATTATACTAATAATTAAAAAATATAGTAAAATAATATATAAAAATTAAAGATTTTAATTACTTCTGTAAATAAACTAGTAATAATAATATAAGTTTTTTAGATATTTCTTAACAATATATATTTATTATATAAGAGGATCCTTTTGCCAACACAAAAAAACAGATATTCCAAGGAAATTTTATATTTCTTTATAATAAAGTCTATATACTTTCATTAACAACACTCACACTAAGAGACTACAGTCTTCCCATTTGTTTCTTTTTTTTTTTGATATAAACTTCTTGTATTTCTGTAAGTAAATATAAGAAATACCTATCTATAAAGTTAAAAGCAAAAAAACTTTGCTAAGAAAAAGAACCTGTAGAAAAAATACCTTCCTTTTTTCTTCCAGAGATTTAAAACTCTAGAAAAGATTAGCACAGTTTTTGGAACTCTTTTCTTATCTTTCTCAAGCTTCCTCTTATCTTTTCAAGCATGTAAACTTTTTTCTGAAGAATTTTGCCTACCTCAATCTGACCCTGAATTTTTGGTTACACCAGAATCCTTGAATGGTGATTGGCTCGAATTTTGGACTGGTTGATCTACACATAGCAAGAAATGTAAACAAGACATGTAACTCCCACATGCCCTATCTCGTACAACATAAAATCTGATAATGCAATTGGATACAGTGAAAGGAGCAAAGTAACAAGGTGTTCTTTTTGTCAAGAAGCGTTATAGTGATTTCCCCTCCCCTCTTGGACTGATTTCTTTTCTCTCCAAAATCAAAAGAAGTCTTATTTCAATCCAGTAAGAAGCTTCTTCTGTTGTTGATTATCCCGAGAAGGCAGCAAGCATTAATGTAAGTATTGTTTCAAGCAATAATTCTTTCAAGAAGTGTAAAACTGGTTTCAAGCAGTATATTAGTCTTGTAATAAGTACCTTAAACATTCTTGATCAGCAAAAGAATAATAGAAATTAAATGGTTCGCCTGGCTGCAGGTGGTGATAAAGGATTTATTTCGATGGACCGAAGTTGATATTGGAGAGTTTTTATTTACCAGAACAAACTTTTCACTTATTTTTTTTACTTCCTTTTTTTTTCTAAAAAATAAAAATTTTTTTATCTCTTAGGACCACAGGTTCGTGTTAGGATGACAGTCTGAATATAGGCTGGCAATGATTTTTCTTAAGGTCAAGAAGCAGTTTTAGAAAAGGAGTGATTTTATCATTTCCCACGATCACATTTAGAGAATTAAGATTTGGAAAGTTTAAAATAGTTAATATTATGCAGTAATAGTTTAATGAATTAACTCCCTTGTAGTGAAATAGTTAGTAAATAGTTAAATTATATGAGTGACACAGTAGTCTTGATATTAAGGATTCAAGGATTACATACAAATTTAAAAATAACTTGTTAACAAGTGTTCTGCAATAGACATAGTTTAGTTCTAATATAAAACCTTAGGGTTTTATATATTATTGTTTTATTTATATTTAAAGATTAATAAACATGGTAATTGCAGTTTGATTAGAGGCAAAAAAAAAATATATTAAATAAAGTCCTAATTCTAACCTATGGATCCATAGTATAGTAGTTAACACTCTACAGGTCAAATTATAAGATATTAGTTCAATCCCATATAAGGGCAATTGAATAAAATTAATATGATATCTGGTATCATAACATATAAAAAGGCTGTTTCTTATAAGAAGTCATTTCACATGCTAATTCAGTGAGCGTTGAGATTGTTATTTCCAGAAAAGATGTTATAGTGCAATGATCATCTGGTTGGTATTATGATGATCGTCAGAAGTTGCAAGATATATAAGATGTCTGTTTTTGACAAGCAGATTTGATGATCTCTCTTTTAATATCCAGTATTTTTCTGCAGATTTCTGCCTTAGTCTCATTCCAATCTAGTAATAAACCAGTCTAGTGATGCTTATTCTGAGAAGGTATTTGACAGTAAGGTAAAAATATTGTAAGTCACTATTCAAGCAATAAGAATCAGTTATAAGTCTATCTTGAACATTCTTAAGTATCATTTAGGCAGGTAAGAAATTAAATGGTTAGCCCAACTGCAGATGATAGTAAAAGGATTTATTCTTGATAAAGCAAGCAGATATCATATAGCTTTATTTGCTATATAAAGAATATTATCTCCAATGTATCTCTTCATTTCTCCTTAATTCTTTCCCAATAAATAAAGCAATTAGTAAATTTATCAGTGACTCAACAGACAAGTAGGGCTTTGGCACATTTGTATCAACTTCTATCCATTAGAAAAAAGTTAATAGCAACAACCAATATGTGAAAAAATTTCCATATAGTTTAGCATATATATAAGATAAATTAATATTATAGTATAGTTCTATATAGCAATATATATGAATATATGTAAATATTAACCTTAATAAAAGTTTGCTAAGCTACTTAATTTTAAGGATATAATTTTTTAGGGACTCTTTCCGCTGATCCTTTTGCCAACCCAAAAAACAGACGTTCTTGAAAAACTTTCATGTTTCTCAATAATAAAGT